TTTGGTGCTTCCTTGTTTTCTCCTTGGTAGAAGGGTCTTATTGTCGTCTGCCCCTTCCTCTGTTCCCATAATGGTACAGGTTTCTCACTGTCTGGCACTTCCATTGCTTTTACTCTGTCTTCTGCTCATAACATCAAAATCACTTGAAGCTCTTGTGCTTGGAAGGTGTCCCTGGTCATCACGGGGAAGCCGCAGTCACCCAGATGCTCTCTCAGGACCCGGAGGAGCTTCGTTCTGCGATTACCTCTCTGAGCACTGACAGCAGCCTGTGTTATTGTGGGTTTCTAAGTCTATCAAGCACAGTGCATCCTATGGGGTGACCCTTGTCCCAGCTCTCTTCTGTGTCCCTGGGGACCCTTAGGGCAGTATCTCTGCAAATGTTCTGTAACAACGTGCAGCTCAGCTTTTCTTAGGTTTGGCTAATAGATATTTCCTGGATTCTTTGTCTAACTTAGGTCTGTTCTTTCCTCTTTCCTCCCTCAGTGCATGAATAGTTTTCTGCTAAGATATTTTCAGATTTTTTCCATATACTTGAAATATTCTATGTACTTTCCAACCAAGATTAAGATTAAATGCTAATTTAGGAAAATATGCAGACATAATTTTCACCCCTGCTTGTTTCTGTGTCACTCATAGTGCTTTTCTACTGTGCTGTTTTTCCTCTTGCCTTTGCATTTACTAGCTTTTATCTGTTTCCCGGGGATTTAGGCTAAGAAATTAGTTAGCAATTAGGCATTAGATTTGAGCCTGCACCTATTAGAAAAGGCCATATATATATATATATGGCACATGTTTGCACCATATAATGATTCCATTGTAGAGAATTTGTATATGTACATAAAACATTTCAATTCTTTTTTTCTCTCTTCCTTCCACCCCCCTTATTTTGTCAGCACCAGATCCTAAAATGTGCACCGTGATCAACAGGATTTCAGTTATGAAATAATAAACTCTTCATTAAGGTCAGGGTTTGGGGCTGTCTGATTTTGTAATTAGAGTAACTAATGACTAAGAGTAGGGTCTTATTTTCTGCTTTTCCTATTTCCAGTTCTTATTAATCATGTCTCTCAGTAAGATACATAATCTCCCTCTCTCTCTCTCTCTCTGTCTCTCTCTCTCTGTCTCTCTCTGTCTTTCTCTCTGTCTCTCTCTCTTATCTCAGTCAGCCTCTGGGGTTTCAGAGATGCTCTTTCCCTCAACCAAGCTTTCTGAGATCCATCAGCTGGAAATGGACCAAGCGACAGTTGGAAGCTGTACTTTCGGATGGAAATTTTATATGGAAACCACTTTACCGATGCATAAAGCAACTTTTTAATTTCAACTTTATATGCATACAACAGTGAAAGCAAATTGTCAGGATTTCTTTCTGTGCTCAACATTGATGTCTGCTTGCTTTTGTATATAAAAATGCAGTAAATACTATATTGCAAGATAGATGTGTTTTTGAATTACAAAAATATCTACTTCGCTGTTAATGTAACCTGGGATCTCCCCTGGGCTAATGTATGATCAGATATGCCCTTTCAGATAAGGTGTGTCATTAAGCCACAATGCAGGTCTCCTTGCTAAATAAGACTGTGTGTTAACCTGTTTTAGAAATTCACTGGTGAATTTAGAAAATGTTCACAATTAGTGTCTTTAATATTTTTTCTTGATTTTTATAGCTGCATAATCTACATCATCTACTTATGAGTCCCCACAATTTCTTTCTGTCTTTCATTTTTTCCTGAAACTTAATTTCAAAGAAGTCTCAGGAATATGGCTCAACTCTGGACTAAGGAGAAATGGATCTGGTGATTGTGTAGTTGGCGTTTCCATTTCCGCCTAATTTCTGGTCTTTATGATCTTTTGCACTGCGTATAAACTTTCAAGTAATCTCTTTTATTCACCATGGTTCCAAGTAGAATATGCCTTACCCTCCGTGGTGCTTCCAGAGCCAAATGTTTGTATCTCAGTTACGGTAAAGTGAACCTTGGAATTGCTTTCTCTTCCATTGAAGTTAGAGGCAAGGAGGATGCCTCATTCACATAACATTGTATTATTATTATTAGGAGCAAAGTGTGATTATTCTTTATGTGATTAAAATTTTACAAAAGCATCTAAAGTATTCTAATATTATTACAGTCTTATGTAAGCCTACTTTAAGTTTACAATTTGCTTATGCCTTAGGTCACTCACGAGTGTAGTAATCGTGAGTGTAGTACCTACAGAGGTAGAACACAAATTAAAAACAAACATCAAGCAAACCAAAAATTTTAAAGTTCTTTTATTTCCAGCATAAACACCCATGTTAGTTTATAGGAATCCAAGTTGACAGCCACAAACTCTGAGACTACCAGTAGGGGTTGGGAGTAAGACACATTATTTGACATCTCAACATCTAGCTTTCTGAGGATTTTATTGCAATTTTCTTGCATATAGTGCTTCATATGTGAATGTCATGTAGTTCATTCTCTGAAAAACTCACACCAGTAGATCTTCGGCACAATAAAGCTTGGTAATAGTGTTTTACTTTTTAGGCTTATTATTTAAAAAGATGGATGGATATATGTTGTACATGGCAAAGAAATAATTATTTGTAAGACTTTCTTCTCTCTAAAGAGGCCGAATCTGGAAGGTGTGGTAGTGTACACTTGTAGTGCAAACACTCAGGAAGCTGAGGCAGGAAGGCTGGCTAATGTTTGAGGCCAGCATATGCTACACAGCAAGTTCACAACCACTCTAAACTGCCCAGTGAGACCCTGTCTCAAAAAATATTTCTTAAAAAAAAATTAGGGAAATTAGACAAATCTAAAGGACCTTTTTATTGTTGTTTAAGATGTTGATAACTGTAATGCTGTATGATAGAGAAGTAGGAGAGATTGAAATGAACTACAATAGCAATAGCATCTTACTAGACCAAGGATGGAAGGAAGCTGTGGTCAGGCACTTCTGAGCATAAATGCAGACAATTTAGGGAATAGGGAAATAAACAGGAACAATCCTTTCCTTTGTCTTCTCAAGACAATGCCAGGGAACACAGTGTGACTTCCAGCACGCTTAGAGCTGCATTAGGGCTGAGAGCAGAGCACGGAGAAGGGAAATTTCACCATTCAGTGTACACAAAGGGAAAGGAAAGGCAGAAGTGTCCTCATTTCAGGTATGATGCACAGAATAAGTTAAAAAGTAAATGTACTCGCTTACCTAGGGAATATTTAAGTGTGCCTCTAAACCCCAAACGTAAGGCATTTCTGAATAGGCTAAGTACACAAAATATAGGAACATTACTTACAGTAATTATCACTTACACTCTGGGAAAAGCTATTGTTACTTAAAGAGATCATTGTAACCCAGGTATCTAACATAATTTTTGAGTTTCTGTGTTTATTTATTTGGTAGTGGGAATCGAACTCATGACCTTGCACGTGTTAGGCAGGTGCTTATGTTGCTGAGCTATATCACCAGCCCATAACATAACTTTTTAAATGTAGTTTTAAATTTACAGAAGAGTTGCAAGTATGTAAGTGTTTCCTGAAATCACACATCTGGTTTCTATAGTTTTCCTGTGGTACATCTATCACAACTAATAAACTGATATCAATGCATTATCTTTAGCTGAAGTCCACACACTGGGATTTCCAGGTTTTTCCCAACATCTTTCATCTGTTCCAGGGTCCCATCCAGAATCCTTTATTACAATTACTGCTTATTACATTGTAGGATCTTCTAGACTGTAGCAATTTCTCAGATTTTCTGTACTTTACAAACCCTGGAAAGTTTTCTTTGGTTACTAATTTTATAGAAACATCTTCCATCTGGATTTGTCTGGTGTTATCATCATGGCTAGACAGACAGAATGTTTCTTGGGAAAATAAAAGCAGAAGTAAAGCTCTGTTTTTTGTTTTTTTGGGGTTTTTTTGGTATCAGAAATCGAACTCAGGACCTTGTGCTTTCCAGGCAGGCGCTTGCACCACGGAGCTACATCCCCAGTACCTAAAGCTCTGTTTCATTGCATCATATCAAAGACATTACTATGAACACATTCTTATCATTGGAGATTAATATATGTATATTTTTAACATATATATATAGCAATTAGTATACATATATATCAAAGAATAACTTTCTGTGATGGTGTTGACCATGATTATTTCTGTGAGGTCGCATTTTCTGGGTTTCTTGATTGTAAAGTTACTATTTTAACTTTTTGTATTTCCTTTTTTGTGATACTGGGGATTGAACTCAGGGTCTTTGCCCGCTAGGCAAGTACTCTACCACTGAGCTATACCCCTAGCCCTAACTTTATTTTCATATGGTATTCTTTAGAAAAAAGTCACTGTGCACATCCCACACTTAAAAGAGCAATATTAAATCTCCTTGATAGAGAAATATTTTGGTAAATGAGTCATATTTTGTATGAATTATTTTGAATTCTAACAGTATGTTTTTAATACCTTTGAAGAGTTTTGTTTTCTAAACTTAATGTAATTCACATTACCAAAAGTCGTGTATTTTAATAATAAAAATACAATGGCTGGGCCTGGGGATTTAGCTCAGCGGCATGGCGCCTGCCTGGCAAGCTCAAGGTCATGAGTTCAATTCTCGGTACCAAAAAAAAAAAAAAAACCTATCTTAAAAATAAGATGGCTTACTATGCTTTCTTACAATAAATACAAGAATAATTTTAGATTTTTTTCATATTATTTACCAATATTGGACAAATATATTTTAATTCAAATATATATCTATGTCCAGAATATTTCTTTGATGCAGTCTTATTTCTTCTGAAAATAAACCATCGTTTTAATAAAAGCTAACCTTGGTGAATAGGTTCCAGACATGCCTTTGAAGTTTTCAGCGGTGTGGTCCTAAGTCATTTCTCTTTGATAATCTCACTTTTGTCAGCTTATTCTCAGGAACAGCTTCCAATTTCTCTTTTTCTTTTATTGGTATATCTTGACTCAATGCAGTGAACAATAGAGTGAGAAAGAAAGTAGGTGACCTTTCTGATGGACACTCACCTGATACAGAGATGTGGCTGTAACCCTTGACACCTGGTACTGGCGCCTCAGAATCCTTAATGCTCTTGACGGAAACTCTGGTATTCATCAATTTTGAAGAAATTGAATTCAAACCTACAGTGACAGGTGAAAAACCAAGTCATTACCTCTAGTAGAAAAAAATATTTCCCCAAGAATAAAAAATGACCTTTCATTAAGCCTTAAGAAAACCTCTGGATTTTAAAAGAATATCATCTAAACAAAAGTTGTATTTTTCTATCATGAAGAAATGCATATACAAAACCTCATTCATTTTAAGCTTTAAGACAGGCCAATCACTGAAGTTCAGGTCTATGTGTGACTATGGCAGAAGGCAAATGAAAATTATACAAATGCCATGAGTTAATAGGTTGTTTTAGCTGAAATGGATTTCATGCTGCCTTGTGTAGAGGAAGTATTTTTGAGAAAATTTTTGAGACCTAATAACCAATAATGACAATAAAGTAAGTGGTTTCTTTGTCAATTTATTACTCACATATTATAGTGGTATGCTAACAACAAAAATAAATATAAATATTTTTAATCATCCTGTAGTTTCTGTCACAATAAAATTGACTTTTCTTGAGTCTGTAGGAGTGTCAGATATTCATGAGAGTAAATACAGATGATGTCGCTTGTCTTGCAGTGACCACCTTGACTTCAGAAGTGAGAAAGGAAGATGCAGACATGTTTGCTGCTGGAAGTAACCTGTCCTTGTTCTTATGGGAGAGCTGAAGGAGGTAGGGAGATCTCCCTGACTCTGCAGAAGCGTAAATACACTGCTGATTGGTTATTCCTGGAAGCCTGCTTAGAATAGGAGTAAGGTGCTATAAATTCATCATTTCTTTTTAGCTAAATCAAAACTCTGACTCTATTTGCTTCTCCCTGACACACAGAGCTGAGCATTCACAGATCCTGGATCTGAAGGAGATTCAACAGCTCACCTCAGCGCTGACATCCCTTCCATGTAAATTTAAGCTAGATTTGGAAGCTGGACTGGCTCAGTCCTTGTGAGTGTTGTGGATACAGCAGTGGTGGAGGCTCCGTGCCGAGGTGGGAACAATGGGAAATGACACGAGCTCTCCAGTTTATTCCCCATGGCACTGACACACTGAGGGGACCTGAACTCCGGGTGTGTATCAAAGATAGTGCTACGAAAACTTGCTCCATCCCCATGTCTGCTTCGGTATTAATTCACGTCTTCCAATTCACATTCTGTATCATATTATTTAGTGGCATTGCCTCCTTAGCACCGAAGTTGTGTTCATGCCATAAGTGTTAGCTATACTCTTCATTTGTCTTTGGCTACACCAGGTGTAATAAGTTGCTGTACTTGCATTTCCCAGGCAGTGCTGTCATTTGCCTTTGAACGAGTTAGGGCTAAGGAAGGCGTAGATAGGAAGAGAAGAAAAAAATGGAGAAGGCAGACTGTTTTCTCTCCCACCCCTCCTCTGTGTCAGGTCCAGCATGTTGGAATCCCATGTGTCTCTCACTCTTTCAGAATATGCTCACATACTTGTAGTGTCTGCTTGGTAATTCTGGCCCCTGACTTGGGCTAAACTTCTTCATTTTATCTTTCTAACTAATATTGGTTGTGACTTCCCCCTATTGATGTTTTTGGCTTCTACATCATCAAATTAAAATTTTGCATTAAAGTCTTCCAGTTGAGCATACTTCCTCATTAGTAAATAGTGATTGTAAATATATTTATCACAAGTACATGCTGATGATTTACTTAACTAGACTCGTGTTAATGTATTAACTCATAGCTCATATGGATCAGTCCTGTTACAAACACCTAGCTAATATCTCACTGTGTGGTTAGACAAAATTCAATATTGACCTCAGAGTATCTTTCAGTTGGTGAGGATTTTTTACTGTAACATCTAGCTCAGAGCTCCATCTTCTGAATTATTTAAGCTTATTAATTTTCTCTCCACTGAGCAAGTGCTATTTGTATATGTACCAGTGACTCAGAAGTCCCAAAATTATATGCAAACAATTAAAGAAGACACAAAATATTGGGAAAGTAACATATACAAACTCTTCAACCCCAGTTTCATTATGCTTCTCTCAAGCAGTCTCTCTCTCTTGTTTTCTTTTTCTAACTGCTTCTCCTTGTCCTCGCTAGCTTTAAGAAATTTTTCCATGTTTTCTTCAATTGGCTTGGTATCTCATTCATTCCTCTTTTTTCTAAATAATTCAAATTTAAAAGTCAGTTGCACAATTACTTCTGTACCCATGTCTCAAACATAATGTTCAGTGAGCAAAAACCAAATCATTTCACAGAATTTATACACACAACTAAGCATTTTTGTTTACAAAAATCTCTTTACAGGGCTGGGGATTTAGCTCAGCGGCAAAGCACCTGCCTGGCAAGCTCAAGGTCATGAGTTCGGTTCCCAGTACCGGAAAAAAAAACAAAAAAAAAAACCCAAAAAACAAAAACAAAAATCTCTTTACTTTCAGGTCACATAAATCAAATTTTTGCCTTCATTTTTCATTCTCTTTCTTCAAATCCCTGGGTTTCTCTTCAGTTTGAGTCACATGTCTCTTATAGTCATTTTGTTTCATGATTTGCTTCTCTTTTTAAAATTCTATGCCCATCAAGAGCCTATAGCTTCTATTTTGCCTAATTCTACCCCAGTGACATAGTTAGGGGAGGAGTTCTTGTAAAAATATGTCTCAAGACTATCCTCTCCCGTTGTCTGAAGTTTTGAGTCTAATATATTGTAGTGGTTGACTGATTGTGTCAACTTGAGAAGTTTAGAAGTGTAACTAAACTTGGCTCAGCAATTGGTTAAGCAATTCTACACTCTAGGGTGTACAGGAGCCACCCTAGGGTAGATTATCACCTAGATGATATAAAGGCAAACAAGGAAGGACAGAGGGGCTTCCATCCTTCGGAGGAGCTCAAACTTTGCCTTCAGCTTGAATGTAGTCTCCTGGCTTCTAGGGCAGACTCCTTGGCTTCCTCCTTGGATCCTTTAGCCTTCCAGCATAGCCTCTTCAGCTTCTGTTGCAGATTCATCAGCCTCTTAATATGGACTTGCATGGGACACTGCCGTGAATTTCAGACCCTGGAGTAAATCCTATGGTTTCCAGTGTGCAAACACCCTCTGCACACTTCTTCATCCAACTCTTTCGCTGATCATTGTAAGCCAATTTTGTAATTTCTTATACATTTCTGTATCTTGTGTTATACCTGTTTCTCTAGTAAGACCCTGACTAATGCATATATTAATTGTTTAGTATTGAATAACTACTTACCCTAACTCAACAGTGATTCAAACTATAAACTTTACTTCCTTGTGGCTTCCGTGGTTAAGAAATCTAGGTCCAGCTTAGCAATTTCTCCCATTTAAGGAGCTTTTTAAAATCTGCAATCATTTCAAGGCTCAATGGAATGAAGATTTACTTTGAGTTCATACCACTGGGTGGCTGTGGAAAGGATGCAGTTCCTTAGGGAACTTTGGACAGAAGCTTCCACATCCTCCTGGTTGCCAGCTGAAGGTTGTCTTTATATCACTTCTTGACACTTGAGTCTCACCAGAGTGCAGTGCACAGTGCAGAAGGTCACCTTCTCAGAAGGAGCAAGTGAGGAGAGACCAAGACAGAATACGAAGCAAAGGAAACTTGCAGTCTTTTATATCCTACTTTCAAAAGCGATAGCTGCTTAGTTTTGCTACACTATGCATTAGAAGTAAGTCAGTCCCACACTGAAGGGGGGGGTCGAGGTAAATATGAGGAGGCTGGGATCATCAGCACGATCAGAAGTTGCCTGCCAGATGGAATTTACAATTAACAGGAAAGTACAAAGCGATTATGACAGAACTGTGCCAGAATTCCACGCAGGAATTTGAAGCATCGGAAAGGTCTCTCCCTCTCTCACTGTGTGGAGAAAAACTGAAATGTGGTTCAAGTGAAGTTTCAGTTCATGCTTGAAACATTTTTGTAGTTTGTATATTATATATCTATATCTATATATCTATATGTGTATATTGTTTTATAAAAACAAAGACTATCTGGATGATGATAGAAAGAACCATGTTGTCTTGCTCTTGGGCATTCACTTACCTTATTCACTAGATCTGGCACAGCATAACTTTTGGCTCTTCTACAAATCAAAATGACCACAAAAAGTAAACTTTTGAATGGATTCAGAACTTTGAGGGATCCACAGTAGCTCAACTACAAACACTCACAGACAAGGACTTCTAGAACTGTTTAGGAAGGTGGAAAGAATCATGGGGCACGTGGTTTTGAACTTAGAGGGTGTTACTTGGGAGATGTGTGGCAGTGTGTCTTTTACTGTAATGAACTCTTTTAAATCTGAATATTCACCACATTTGTCATCATACTTCATGTTCTGTTTCCTCAAATGATTCAACATGGCCCATCACCAACCATGACCTTGAATAATGGAGGATGTGGTTAAGGAGCCTGGCTCCACAGCTACAGGAGGACATATACATTAGAGGAGATGTACACCTTGGTAACTTGTCAGAAAAGAAGTAGACAGATTGAAGAGTAAATTAAAAAAAAGAAAAATGAGGTAGGAAATAAGAAATAAATTAAGACTTCCAAGATTCTGGTTTGCATCTTTTATGATTCCTGTACCATTGCTATGGTTTGTGTCTAGATGTCCCCTCAAAGCCTCCTTTGGACATAGGGTTTTTTCAGGGGTCACTGAATCTAGAGTGCATAATGCTGTGATTAAGGGCACATGATTAATAAATCAATCTGCTGATCAGTTTGGCATAGTTCTGGCTAGGATTAAGGGCGTGCGTACTACACCCACTCTAGGGCGGGTACCCTGCATGCGATATAAGGGGCAGAGAGTTTTGTTTTCCTCACTCCTTGCTTTTTCTATCTCCTACTGGCAAGACCTGTTGCATTGCTTTGTAGAGTTAGCATTGCTTTTTTAACCAATATTGTATTTCTCATTTATTTTAGAATTAGTTTTTAAATGAGAGTTAATTCACATTTTAACCTCTTTGACATTTGCCTGCCATGCCACCCTGCCTGAAAGCCAGATGATTATGGACCAAATCCTCCACAAACTATGAGTTAAATAAACCCTTCCTCCTTTAACATTGGGTGTTGAGAATTTTGTCCCAGAAATGAGAGAAAAGTAACTATGATAACCATTAATCAAACTATTTTTGAAAAAAAGATATAAATTTGGGACTGGAGTGGCAAAATGCACTATATTTTTGAAAGTTTTGAAATATCCCTAAGACATTCAGGTTGAGGTAGACATAACCTGACATATAGATATTGGACTTGGAAGAAGTACATTAGAGAGAGGTGGTGGCCAAGATTATGGTGGCCAAGTTCACATAGGTAGGTCCAGAAATACTACCATACAATACTGTTGCCAGAGAAAATTAAGTTCATTTCTGTTCAAATCTAACCTTTGTTACAAACTTGCATTTTATGACAGTATTGTTATAGGCAGCTGAATTAGATAGAAATATTATAGGCAGTCAGATACAGCCAGGTCCTTGAAGGGGCCAATATGGAAGACAAGATACCTTACAAATGGAGAGGTGGTACTTGCTTTGGGCCAGATCTCAAGACCAAAGACTAAACAAATACACCCACATACCTCCCTAGGGATGGACATCAAGGACTGATATTCTAAGTAGGTAGTATCACCTTGAAGAATCTTTGACCCAACCCCTTACAGGAAAAGCCCCTGTTTTCTGTTCATGCCCACTTGCTACGTGACCCACTTCCCCATTTGATCCCAATTTAATCAATTTTACCTGAACAGTTCTTATTGGCTGACCATAGTTTTGTCCATTTTTCCCCTACCTTGGACCCACCTCACCTCGTGGTTTTGCTCTAGAACAGTCTCTAGAAAAGGCAGAGTCTTGGGGTAACCCTCTCAGGCCCCCCTTTTGTCCCTCTCTTGCATAGAAGCTTTCTTTCTGTCAGTAAATACATTCTGCTCTTAATCTCCGTTGTTCCTAAAATTCATTCTTTGACTTTAGAGAACATGAA